GTGGGGTTTTTTTGCGACTGGGACTCTCAGCCTCAGGCACCCTTGTGCCCACCAATCAGCCTTGGAAAGTGATCAGGACAAGCAGGCTTGCGGCACCAGCCCGGAGACCCAAAGCCAGAGTTAGCCGGGTTCTCTTCCGGGTACTGGCTGGGCAGCCAAGAGTGGACCCAACCAATTCCCACGCCGTGGGAGCCTCCCCTCACCTGGGAAACATGATCGATCGCTGTTGTTTTAGGGCCCAGAGTTCAGTCTCCTGGTCGCTGCACGGAGTGTGTTATCCCGCTTCTCAGACATGGTGTTCTCCCGGTGCCGCCATCTTGGCTCCCCCTATTTTTTTTTTTAAATACAGCCTTTGGGCCAACAGAGAATAGAAACAAACTCTGGGTAGCCAACCATCCCATTTGGCACCATGGAGAGGAGACAGGCCACCAGCACCCAAGGGACTTCTGAGAAGACAGGGGAAGCACCCACCAGCCTGTTCAGAGACCATTCTGAGGTTCTACTAGTTTGCTAGTATCCTCTATTTTGTGTCACATCGTATAGCAATGGAAGTAGGCACTCATACTATTAGATTGGTACAGAAGCCTCTTTCAGCATCCACCGGACCCCACCTAGGGGCCGAAGCACCCACACAATCCCTCCAAAAGAAAACAAAAGCTAAAAATAAAAACAAAAAAGAGAAACAAATAAAAAAGTAAAAATATTTTGTTGTGTAACCTGCATTTCCCCCCAAACAGCTTTACTTGCAAATAGTCATTGGTGAGGTTCAAGTCCCCTGGCTTCTGTTACACCATCAATGTTGGCTCCTCACCAGGACTCCTCTCAGATACCCTGTGTTTTGGAGATCTTGCAGCTTTGGTTCTGTAGGTCTGGCCCCTCTATGTGCTCCAGCAGTTCATAGATGGGGTGGATGTTCAAGTGGGCCAACTCAAAGGGGACTGGGGCAGCTCTATAGCCTGCCACAAGCGGCTAGGGGTACAGGAGGTGGGGCAGGAACAGCTCTTCCATGCTTACTCCCACAGGATGGCTCTCTCATGCATAAACTACCAGGGCCAGCTCTGCTGTGCTGCTCAGATAAGGTGCAGATCCTGGAGTGCTTACACCCTGGAGGCTGGCTCACCAGTTACATGCCCTCAGGGCTAGCTCTCCCATGTTGCCCAGGCAAGGATCAGGGCCCACTCTCCCATATGCCACAGCCAGTGAGGAGCAAAGCCAACTCCACACAGTCCTCAGACACTGAGATGGCTACAGGAGGCAGCCCAGGCCAGGGAAGTCTGCGAGGCCTTTGGTGGTAACATGAGCCACAGCCATTTGCACAGACCCCTGCAAGTTTAGAGTCACAGACCCAAACATGGCCCTCAGTAAAAGTGCAGGCTACCCATATGAAGCTGATCCTCACCAGCCTCACATCACCAGTTCCACCTCTCTTCATAGTACATAAACTGTTCTCTTCTCTTTCTATCCCATCTCTCTGCCACATGCTTGATTATTGTAGCAGCACCTCTGGGTGTCTTCTACGTGACTGTTTTGCATGGTGGCTGGTTTGTTTCTGGATGACTTTCTGTAGTTTCTAAACTGTGTGATTTGCTGATTTGAAGTCACCTTTTTGAGATTCAGTTTATAACTATAAAACATTCTAGAAATATATGTGGTGTAACAGTACATGCTTGGCAGGCTGGCTCAAGATAGCATGATGTATATAAGGTTGGAAAAAAAACAAACCCAAATGAAAATGACCCAGACTCAGTTTGTGTTTTCATCCTTCTGTTAGGCTGTGTAACCTTGGACAGCTGATGAAATATGAAAGACTGTGCTGCTTTCTATTCAAATAAAGCTAACTTAATGTTAAGGATGAGTGTCAGAGTTGTTGCATATAATGGACCTGGCCAGGTGCCCACCATTGTTCAGCACTCTGCCAATATTTGTTGCATATGTTATTGATTACTAGAGAGTATCATAATAGCTGAAGCTGGTCTGAGAGAGCCAAGAGACTGGCTGGGGAGACCCACATATTCAGAGATATGGTTACAAAGTAAGCTGATAAGTGCCCCCTTCTTCTCCCCTAGTGAGATCACACAGACATGCCTTCCTCAACACAAGAACAAGGAGAATCTTTTGGGAGAAAGGATATTATGATGAGCAGAAGTTAACTATGCACCTTCAGCAGGGACATGACTTATCCCTGGAGATGGTAATGGAACCCACCAGGCTCAATGTAGACAGCTAGAATGTATATTTGAAGAAAGATATAGTATCTCAAAGTAAAAGCCTGAGAGGTAAGTGAAGCTTGAAGGACCACTTTCAGAAATTTGGACTTTATCCTAAGGATCATCAAGAGCTTCTGAAGTACCATAAAGGGAAAGTAACAAGGTCTAATTTATACACTGGATGGAGCAAGCTTGCCCCTGAATGAATGATGAGGTCAGGACTGGGGAAGTCATGTAGCAACCAGCATTTCTAACCATAGCCTTTATCATTCACATCCCTAAATCCAACATGAGGTCACTGGGGAGGAACTCAGGAAAAACCAGGATACAAGTGGTCCATGTACCATTAACTACATCCAAATAAGGGAGAAACATCAAAACCAGACCACAGAAATCCTGAAAGCACCTCCAGGAACTCTCTGACATGCTGAATGTCCAATCGCTTCCAGAGAAACAAATTCATGTTTATCAAGAGTTTCTTTGTGTGTGTGCCTCATGGTGTCTGCATTAGACTGAGGTTATCAAAGGCTGGGTCTCACCTCTGCGGTAATGAATTTGATGCACTGTAAAGACCAGCAAAGTCAACTCTCTCACTTCATTGATGAGGTACCCGAGGCTGAGATGGGAAAGGACGTTACCAGAAGTGCCTAGCAGGACAGGCTCTATCTCAGATACTTCAGCCTGCATACCAGTCCATAACCATGTGCTGTTCATATAACCCAAATCACAAACGTCATGGATTGTATATAAAGTATTACCTAAAATTGCTCATGTGTTGATTTGGTCCCCAGCAGGAAGATCTGGTCACTGAGAAGTGAATGGATCATGTGTTTGGCGTAACATATCAATTTATAAATGAATTCACAATTGAATGGACTGTTAAGAAGCAGGAAAACCTAAAAGGTAGGTCTCCATTAGAGAAAGGGAATTCCTGGAGATGTGCCTTTGAAGAATTCCTGAGTGTGTGCCCAGTGTCTTCCTATCTCTGCTTCCTGGCTGTTGTGAAGGGAACAGCCTTCTCTGCTCTATGCTTCTGTTATCACAATGTTTTTTTTGTTTTGTTTTGTTTTTGTTTTGCTTTTGCATTTGTTTGTTTGTTTGTTTGTTTTTCTCAACCCAGGGCCAAAGCAAGGGACCCAACAGACAATGAACTACATCCTCTAAAGCCACAAACCAAAATAATTTTTTCTGTCCTTAAGTTGTTCCCTTCAGAATTTTTGACACAATGATTACAAATTGAACAATGTACCAAAAAAGAGTACATTTTTCCAGCTTTCTTTGTCTGTCTCTGTCTCGCTCTCTCTTGGACCTGGCTTTATGTACTAACCTACAACTCTCACTACATAAGAAGAATGACCTTCTAATCATTCTTTCTCCACGTCTCTGGAGCTGGGGTTAGAGGGGTCAACCACCAACACCTGGTTAAAAGGTGTTAGAGATAAATTCCACAACTTTATGCTAAACAAAGACTCTCCAAGTGAGCTATAACCTCAGTTCTCTATTAATTCTTTTTTTTTTTACTTTTAATTGGTTGTTTTTGAATTTCACATCAAGCACTCTAAGCCCACTCATGACCCCTCCCCTCATACCTGCCCTCCACCCTTGCACCCCCCCCCACCAACAGAAGAAAAAGTTTGTTATTGTGGAAGATGTAGAGTTTTGCACAGTGTGGCCCATAGTATATGCCCTTTGGTCACACTTCTTTGCTTGAAATTGTTCACTGCAATAAATCATCAGTCAATCTGGTATGAGGCCTCTGGCTTCTACTACATTATCAATATAGGAACCTCACTTGGACTCCTTGCATATATCCATTTGTTGCCCTGTGTCATGGAGATCCTGTAGTTTTGGATCTGTAGGACCTGGCCCTACATGTACTTCAACAGTTCATGGATGGAATGAGTTCTCCTGCCCTGCCCAAGCTGACCCATCCAATGCTGCCACCAGCAAAAGGCAGACCCAGGTCTCCCAGTCTCCTCGGGCCTGGCTCATTCATGTCCATGCCACCATGGCCAGCTCTACTGTGTTTCCCAGGTCATGTGAGGGGTCCACTCTTCCAGGTACCAATGTGGCTAGGGGTGGGGTCAGCTCTCCCGTCTTCATGCTCCCAGAGCCAGATCTCCCACAATGCCCAGGCAAGGTATGAGACCAGTTCTGTGCAGCTCTCAGAAAACATGTCCCTGAGCAGCAGCCCAGACTGGGGACATCCATTTGGCTTATGATGCTTCAGGGCCAGAGATCCAGACATGGCCCTTGGTAGCAGCACAGGCCAGGACCCCACCATGGTCCCAGGTGGTATCACTGGCTACTCACATCAGGCTATTCCTCACTATCCTTGAGTCTCCAGCTCTGCTTCTCTTCATTGTGCCCACAGCCTTTTGCTTCTCTTTCTCTCCATCTCTCCACAGTTTACTTGCTCCTTTTAGTGGTGCCCAGGGCCTCTGACTGGGGTTATCTCAGGAGTGTTTTCAGGAGTGCTATGGCCCATTTGTGCATATGGCACTTGGTGGGGGTCATCTTGGATATGGTCTGCCCTCCAGGCCTGCAAGGCACTGGACTGGTCATCATCTTAGGTTAGGTCTCTGTCTGGACTCCATGGCAACTGACTGGTGCACTCTTCTCCTGGGCCTATGCAGGGGTCATCTGTCTTGGATTCACTCCTGGGTGGGTTATCTGCATTCCCAGCATCTGGGAAACATCTCATCTCTGGCTCTCTCCCTGCCCTGGGAGTCTGCCAGGGCCTGCCTGTTCAGCATTGCACGGCTGGCCGTCTCAGGCTCACTTTTGTCAGTGAGTGTTAGAATACTCCCCAGATGTTCACGGGTCAGAACAGTGAGCATAGGTGTATTCCCTTTCCTCTCTGCCAGCTACTGATGCACACGTGACACAGCAGCCACACCTGCAGCATCTCTAGGGGCAAGAATTCATGGGTATTAATTTGTAATACAGGGGTGAGCATTCTGAACCCATCTTCTGTTCTGTTTTGTTTTGTTGCTTTATTAGCACATATTGATTGGAAATCACAATGGAATTCATTGTAACATTTTAAGCCTATAGAGTTTATTTTAATCATATTTATCCTTAACACTTTCTTGTCACCCTCCCACTTCTATTGATCCTCTTCCCAAACAGTATTCCCCCTTCCATTGTCACTCCATTGTTTTCTTCATTTGGTGACCCACTGCGTTTAATTAGGCTTACTTACAAGGAACATGTGTGAAGGGTTATTTACATGAGCACCTCACCAATGTTTATACCACTGAAGAAAATTAGTCTCCCTCCTCCAGCAACAATTAACTACATTTATATCAACATCAAGGGGTCCTCTATTTTTGGACCTGTATAAAAGAAGGTAGTAGCTTGGGCTTCTGGGTCAGAAGAAGCCTTGAGCTCAGCCTCTTTCTGCCGACTGCAACTGCTGGCAATAGTGACAGACCACTCGAATCTGAAGGTAAGAGAGAGTTCTGTGAAGACTGAACAAGCCATGGTACTTATCTCAGTGCATAGCAGACAGAGGCCGTGAAGAAGATATTGGAGGGGGTGAACCAGGCAACATTGCCTCCTGGGTCTACTTTCACCAGGTCTATTTCAAGGCTTAAGAGAACTCCTCTTTCTTGAAGCTGTCTTTCCTTCTTTTCAGCCTCCCTTCCATTATTCTCATATGCTGACATGTTTGCTACTGATTCCACAGCCATTGGAGCTTCTCCCGAGTCAATACACAATAGAGGAAAAAGCAACCCCCGCCACATGCAGCCACAGCTGCCAGCGTTGGGAGTGAGATCTTCTGTCAGCCCGTCCTGAAATTCTTTTGGAAGTTTGACAGGATTAAGGGGATTAATACATTAAAGCATTATTACAGCATTCACCAGAGATTTTCAAAAGACTTTACACTCTGATCTATTTGTTCTGTTACATAAAACTCGCATTAACAGGCTGACGGCAATGGGGAAAAATATCTGTGAAATCAATAACCTTATTTTTTGGTAAACAGATTTAGCAGGCTGAGCCAGTCATTAAGGCCTGCAGACCCTCCCACAGTGCACATCAATGAAATTACCCCTCCAGAATCCATCTGACAATTAAGCAGAGGACCTGCCTGAGTCTCCCAGCCCATTGATGGCAGGGCGCAGAAGAAAGAGCGGCCCCTTCCTCCCCTTTGGGCTTAGTCCTCTCCAGCCCTAGACCCACTAACCCAGAGTGCAACCAAGAGTCAATGCTGGACAGAGAAGAAGCCAGGGAAGAAACATGCAGTGATGCAACAGGAGGTTGCCTCTGAACTGCATTCTGGATTTCCTGCACAGTACGAAGCGGCAGCCCTAGAGATGGCAGTAAGGCATAGCTAGTAGTACTCCACAGGTGTAGATTCAAAACAAAGGGCTTTATGTCCTTGTAAGGGTGGAGACAAGGCCATCATTCTTGCTGGTTTTTCATATTGGTACCTGCCTCTGCAGAGTATAGTTTAGCCTTGTAAAACAATCAGTTACACGTATGCAGCACTTGCTGAGTAACACATTATTCTGAACACTTCATGAGCATTCCTTTGGTCAACACCTCCAGTAAACTTTTGAGGAGGGTTCTATTACTTTCATTTTGCAGATAAGAAGGTTGAGTGGCAGTATGGAGAGAGATAGTTCAATCCTGAAAGTATGAGGACCTAAATTCAATCTCCAGAACCCATGAAAAAAGACTAGGAGTGGGGGGAGGGGCCACTACAGGAGAAGCAATGATAGGCTCCTTGCCAGCCAGCCTAACCTACTTTGCAAGTTCCAGGCCAATGAGAGAACCCATCTAAAATAAATAAATAAAACGGACAGCATCTGAGGAGCTGCACCAGATTGTCCTCTAGCTTCCATATACTCACATGCCCACTCATATTAATGGACACAGGCATCTGTGTGAGTTGATGTGCACCAGATGGGTTTAAGAGACAGCTCAGCTCAGTAGAGGAATTTAGATTCCAGGAGACTGGAGTTACAGAAAGTTATAAGCTAACTACCATGTGGGTTCTGAGAACCAAACACAGGTCCTCTGCAAGGGCAGTAAAAGCTCTTAACTGCTCAGCCACTTCTCCAGTTCTTTTCCCAACATCATACAAATGTTACATAACATTTGTTAGGATTTGAAATTAGGATTTGTAAAATTTGAATTAGGATTTGTTTTCAGAGTCCAACTAAGAAACTAGGTTTCTATATTCAGCAAGTTATTTTGCTAACAAATATTCAAAGGCTTGCTCCCACACACCGAGCAGTTACCAAGTGTCTTAGACACTAATGCTTGCAGAAGCCCACTAACATAAATATTATTATATTCCAATTTTTTTCTGTATAAGGACTAAAGCTCAGATGGCTGAGGTCACATGACTGTTAAATGCTGGAGGTAAGAATTAAAACCAGGCAACCTCCCACAAGGGCTTGGGCTTAAAAACACTCAGTGTGTGAGCTTGTTCTAAGCTCAGGTGGCTGTTCTTGCATACCATTTGGCAATTATCAAGACATTTGGTGGCCTGCCTTAGTTCTTAGAGATGAGAAACTGGAGATAACACAGCCCCAGGACAGTGTCATCCAGGGAGCACTCAGTGCAGTAGTTTCTCACAGAATAAAGGACCTCACTGAGCTCAAGGCCTCTGGACAGCAGGTTTGCTGTTTGAATCATGATCAGCATATCCCCAGTTCAGTCCAGAGCCTGGCTAAGATCTCCAACAAATGACTACTACACAGTGGGAAATGATGCGCTTATCTTATTGCAACTTGAGGTGCCAGGGTTAGGGGGCCTCCCCTTTTCTGAGAAGGATATTGAGCAGTGGGGAAAGGGGCCTGAGGGTGGGACTGGGAGGAAAGGAAGGAGGTATCTGGATGAAGGTGTAAAGTGATTAAATTTAAAAATGGCTCCTACTTTAGAAATAAGGAGGCTGCACTCATTGAAGACACGTGGTCTGTCCAAAAACACACATTTATAGCATGTCAGCTAAGATTCAAAATAATTTTTTCTCTTTAAACTTTATCCCTTGTGCAATTCTCCCTTGCCTTTACTCTTCCTGCCATGGACACATACAAGCATGCATACATGCACATATGTACATCACAAACACTTGTATACATACACACAAGTTTATCTGTCCCTGTACCCTTCGTGCACATATGCAAACTCACATGCATGTGGGTGGGCACACACACAAACACACACAAGCTTTGATCACACCAAGCCATCGTAGAAGACAGTGAATTCTCATGTCTGTCCCATACCTTTGTATGAGCAGTTCCCTGCACCTAAAATGCTCCTTCTCTGACTTGCTCCTTTTAAATTTGTTTCTTCCTACTTATTATAGGAGTCTCACCATAGTTGTCAAACTACTTCTAGAAAACCATTTTTGTCCTCAAAGCCAGCTTGTATCATGAGGCACTTCACTGCCCTTTGGCACTGTGATATGACAGTGCCCTATATTGTAATTTCCTTCTCCTTCTGCATTGGGCCTCCTAGACTTTGAATTGTAATTTCCCATCTTTGCCATCTATCCACACCTAGCTACACAGCATTAATAAATGGATTTAGAACATGTGAACTCAGGCTATCATTTATACACACACACACACACACTGAAGCTCAATTATTGAGAGATCTAATTATGTTTTCACTGTTAATTATGTTAGCCACCTTTTGTTGTATAACAAATTATACCCTAAATTTAGCAGCTAAAAATTGCAACAACTGTTTTATTATCTCATCCTGTTTCTATAATTCAGGAATCTGAACCAGCTCAGCTGACTGGTTACAGGTTGGTCTCAGGGGAGTCTACAGTCAAGATGCTGTCTGGGCTGCAGTAATCAGCAGGCTGGGTGGGGTTGAAATATCCTCTTCCAAAATAGCACCTTCACATGGTAGATGGCAGGAGGACATGGCTGCTGACCTCATGGCCTCCTCCAGAAAGCTGAAGGCTCTCATTATAGAGTAGTTCCATTCCCCATGCATGCTCCAGAGAGAACAAGAAGGAATCCAAATACTTTTTACAGCCAGCATGGACCATCACTCCTGCCAAAGTCTCCTCATTGGAACCAAGCCATTAAATTCAGCCCACTCTCAAAGGGATGAAGCTGGGGCTCCACCTGTTGGAGGTAAGAGTGTCAACAAATTTATGTCCTTAGAGAAAGATAGTCCCCAACTCACTAACCTCAACTCTTGGAGGGAGGAGGAAGGAAGCACAAACAGCTGATACTAGGAAACAGGCAAGCTCTTCTCAATTGAATGGGAACAAAGAAGATGAGATGCTGCTCCGGCATGCACACATGGCCTCTTCATTAGGAACACTGCGGATGCCCAAGATAAGGCCACTCATGACTGATGATGAGGAGCTCTCTATAGCCTACCTCCCATCCACTAAAAGGATTTTAAAGGGCTTGGAAGAACAGCAAAACCAGGAGTTCCCACAGCATCCTAAAGCCAGAAGTGATCCCAACTGCTCAGAGGTAATCAGTGGCCAGTTTCTAGATGTGTAGTGCATTTGTCAACCCTACTCCTGATCATTCTGATATACTTAAGATAAACTGTCTTGAAATGTAGGCAACATTTTCATCAAACAACAACAAAAAGGCAAGGATGTAAATGGAAAATAACCAATATTTCCTTACTCCCTACTGTGTGACAGGCAACTGATACACACAATCTCATTTAATCCTCTGGTGACAGTTCTTATTCCCACTTTACAGATAGAAAACAAAATGGAGATCTATAAAAAATCCCTCTCATGTGCCAGGAGAACACAAAAACTCTGATGTTAGATATGTATCCCCTGGGACACATCAAGAATCACAGTTTATTATTAGTTACTTTTAGTTCTGTGACTCAGATATCTGACATTTGCAACCAAAAGTAGGGAAGGGCTTATTTGGTTCACAGTATCAGAAGACCCAATTTATTGATTTTGCTC